CTACAGCGAGGATAAAAGTTACGCCTTCTTTCTTTGCTTGAACATTTGGGCGGCGTTATGCAATCTTCCCACATCGTGATGTAGACATGTGGGGGTGTGTTAGAACGAGCCGTTTTAGGTATGTGTGGTTGACTCTTAACTGTTATAAAGAATATCTCTTTGGATTTGAGACTTAAGTCTTTGCAACTTTACAGATCTTCTTTATGCACCAAGAGCTTGTAACACTCCAAAGAGAAAGGAAAAATTTAAATTGCATCATATGACCCCTTTAATTAAAATGTTAAAAATTAAAAATTGTGATATAGATATACATAAGGTGTACAGCTTTATTTTTTTTATTGTTTTTTAAAATGTATTTATTTATTTTTTCAGAAGGGAGACTTCAATAATTTCATTAAAATGTTTCAAGTTTGTTGTAATAAAGGATTTGTTCACTCAAATAACTTGTTCTTGTTCTTTTAAGAGTCATTGTTACTGATAAGAATTATTGTTTAAGTGATATTTTCTGAGACGATTATCATACCGTGAAAATCTCATACTGTTACAACCCTAGTTAGTTGATTTTAATTAACCTTCATTTAGATAAACTGATATGGGTTCTTAAATGTCAAAATCAGTCTTTTTGCCTATTCTATGTGAAAAGCATTTTATAAGAAACTTTCAAATTCTGGCAAAAATTCTAATTCTAATTTAAAAATTCTACAATATTTGTGGTTTTGATGCTCTTTAATGTGGTGTTACAGATATCGTAGCTGTCTCAGTTTAAGTAGCAGCGATCATCTCTTCCTTTTTTTTACTACTATTTCTTTAATAAAATAAACAAGAATGAACATCAGAAGGTGTGTTGAAAGAAACATTGTTGTTTATTGCAATGTATCATGTGCAACTCAATCTGTGACGTCAGTAAAACGGCTCATATACAATGTCATGTATCATAACATTTACCTCCTTACATAACCTGTTCACAAAGTTTGTTGAAATGTTCACATTTCACATACAGTAAAAGCCAAGGCTGTGAATCTCAACAAAGACAAAAAAATAAATGCTGTGAAAGTGGTCCATGTGACTAA